TAACCGCAAGTCGCATATCGATAATTGATTGTATTTTATTAAAATTATGCCATACTAATAATACTGCTAAGTACTTACGTCAATATTTGTTCTACATATAATTTCACGTGATAATTATTTGCTGTAAAAAAATATGGTATGTTTGTATGTTTGCATATCAGATTATTTTAACCAGGCAAGAGCATTTTTTTTTTAAATTATTTGTACTTATTCAAATATACTAAGCATTCTTTTTGATGGCGTACGAATAGCTTCGAGTGGTTGAGCGAATTCTGCGCCCCACTCAGATACCGATACCTTGCGATGAAATTAAAATTTTTTTAGAAACTTTTATCGGGGGAGAATAAAAATATTTGTGATATCATTACTTTTTGCTTATACTGTATGGCATATATAACATTCGCTTTGATATGAAATCTACATTTATTTTGATTTTGTTTTTGCCTCGTTACAACCATTTATGCTACATACATACATAGGTACGTAGATAAACCTAGGTAAATTTTTTGGTTTACATTGAACACCTGCATTTTTATTTATCGGGCGCTTGATTTTTTACCCAATCATCTCAGCCAATATGGATAACAAGTTAGCATTTATCAAAGGCCTTTGGACTTCTACGGGTTTTCACGTAATGCGATAGCGCAAGTGTGCGTTTCGAACATTTTTTTTTTTTTATATAATTTAACATACAAAATTTTTTATATTTCAATTCGTCGGCTATGATTTGTTTTAGAAGTTTGTCAGCACTTTAAAATCCACCTTTAAATCCATAAAATTGAAAATAAAAACATGAAACTGTTAAAAATTGTTGTTGTTTGGGATAGAAAATGAGAATTTGTGAGTGAGTTTGTGACATAAATTTTAAAATGCTTGCAAACGTCAAAAATGCTAAAAGTGCCTCTAAGCGGTTCTGGCTTTCTATATTTTTTTATCATGTTACAATCAATAAATTTTTGTTAAGGTTTTGAAGCAAAAATAGTAAGTAGATCTTTTCCGAAAACCACTTAAACTATATTTGTGCCATTGCCACTCCAATAAGGCATAATAAGTATAAATGAGTTGCTGATAAGTAGAATATCAGTTTGGAAATTTTCACAGGGATCAGACTAATCAAAATTTTGGGGGCCATAAACTAAAAAAATAACATTTCAATATCCGGCATCATATAAAGCGATTAACCTTTGAAAGCACCGATAATCAGTTGATTACTTTATGGGTAAATAAAAACATATTGTGCTCATTGAACTCATTAATCGAAGCGAACGAATGACGGAGGCGCCCAAAATGACTCACTCCGATTCCGATAGCTGGTAAAAACACCTGTGACAGATGGCAGAGATAGTTTGTTTTCTGACTGATATAGAAATTATTTTGAATAAAATTTCAAGTCGACTCAATCAGAACTCAGACTGTGTTTGTTGTGATTCATTTACTTGGACTAGCATTTCTGATAAAAATGTTATTCGCGATTTTCAAGGCGGTGTTTCTAAAGTACAGCCTGTGGCTGCGAAATGAATCTTCATTCAGTGTCATATTCAGACAGTAGGCTCCTGATCTATGTCGCCTGGCGCGCATCATAACTTTTCCTTTCAACCCTCAGAAAAAACTCTTTTCGAACTGTCAATAACAAACTTTTTGTTGATATTTCTCATTGCTTCTTTGACTTTCATATCGCTCAAAAGGTTCATGAATGCATACTTACATACATACTAGCCATACGATATACAAATAAAGCGATAACAGCTGATAATTGCCATTTAAAATGCTTTAAAAAAAGTAAGAAACAATAACATGAAATTATACAGTTTTTGTTTTTTTATCGCCGCTAAGCTTTTTGCCATATCATCTTATAAAACAATAGTTACGTAATTCATTGACAACTACAACCAAACCGCAAAGGTTCTACCAAGCTTATATATGCCCGCTTTGAAGAAAAATAAGGACCAAAGTATTAGTTCACACTCTAATTTTATAGTTTTGTATATTTTCGTCCATATAAATTTCTTTTATATAGAAGAAATTGCCTAGCACCGTCAGCAAAAAAATTATAAAAAAGCAACGAGATTTTCTAGCGTCTTGAAATTCAATGAGCAATAAAACTGCGTACCTAAACTTTTTCTAAGAATACAATTTTTGGGTGTAATTGTTAAAGTTTGTTGAATTTTCGTAATTTTTGTACGAAGTTTGAAATGTGGATTTATGTGTGCGCTGTTAAGGTAAAGTGTTAAACTAAAAAAAAAAAAAATATAAACATTAAATAAACTAAATAAAAATAGCCAAAACTTGTAAAAATGTCACTTAACTTAATCAGGTGACCACAAGTGTATGTACTTCTACCCAGTTTTACGACACCATTTAAGTGAAAAATCTTTATTATTACAACGATTTTTTTAAATGGAGTTACTAGCTATTTCAAAACATGAAATTGAAAATATTTATATATCAACAATAATAATAACAAACATAATTAATGAAATTTTAATTTTCAAGTCCAAATTAAATTTTTAAGTTAAAATTGAATTTAATTAAATTTGCAATGTCGGCGTTGAAGAAAATTGTTTCGAGTTGTTAAACGAAATAACACTTTTTATACAAATAAATATTAAAAAGGAATATAACCATATGTGTTTGAAAATATTTTTTAGTAGGGCCGCCATCTAAACAAATTAGAAATGTGTAGAGTTACCACCTATTTAAAAATCAATTGTTTAGCTTATACAACCACCGTATGGGTATTCGGGAAAATATTGATTAAGAATTTTTTTTTTGTTTTAGAGCTGCCAAAGTCAAAACAACTAATTTTAAAGTACAAAAAATTAAAAAAAAAGTATCGAATTTTTGAAACACTTTCATGAAATTATTTTTTGGCAGCGTTGCCATTTATAAATAATTTAGTTATTATTATCAGCAGCAAAGTGGCTATGAGCGCTGGACATTGACGGGATTAGTAATGAAATTTAAAGAGATTATAAATTTCTAACCTCCCATCTAACCTTTGGAAATTACAAAAAAATTATTAATTTTATAAACAAATACAAAATTTGGTAAGTAAATATTATTTTTGTAGAGCTGCCACCTAAACATTGTTCAATAGAAAATTGTGTGCGCTGGATAGTAGCTGATGTAATTGAATTTTAATTAAGATATTGCTAACCTCCCTTTCTGTGGTTTCTTTAAATTCCAACAGAAAAGCTATAATTTTAATTGTGACGAACAACGGATATCATTAGTGTTAAATACAACTGCATCATAATTATATAATTAACTGCTCACTGTTAATTATAGATTTTATAATTATACAAAATATCACTTTATTGCTCAACTACAACGCGCGCTTGGAAAAATAAGACTTACAAATATTAATTTCATACGCCCTGTCAACCAAGATTTACGAATCGGTAGCGCTTCTTGGTCCGCCCCACAGACAGCGGAAATTATTTTTAACAGCATTTGTCTTAATATCTCCACAACAAATCAACCGCCGCACCACTGCCTATCCCGCTACCCTCCAGCCAGCGCCAGCAATCGACAAGCGCCGATGCGTCGCGCAAACGCGTCAAACGCCGGTCAGTGGCGTGCCGCCCGTCGCTCGAACCTTTGTGTTAGCAACGCTTGGGCTTCAGTTCGAAATCGGCGCATGACAGCAACGGAACAACGGTGAATGCTAATACGTGCGAGTACGAGTGCTGTTGTTTGGGTTGTGGTAGTGGTAGTGGTAGAAACAAAACATATGCGGTTAGTGGCGTGACGATTTTACTCACTGTTTCTTGTTGTTTGAGGTTTGTTGTGCGAGCGCAATGTGTTTGAGGCGGTGAAAAGTTGTTGAAGAGACGGAAAATCAGTGTTTCTGTCCGATTGGCATCTGAAAAATGTCATTGTTGGCATGAAATGAGCTGTTGAATAGTAATTTAGTCTCGTGAAAATGTGAAATAAAACATTTTTTTAGTAAAGTAAATATGCAAAGTAAATTTGTGGATATGTGAAATATGACATCACTGTGGCGTTGCGGTGTTGAGAATAGACGCGAACGAGCGTGAAGAAAGTTTTTGACGACTACAAAAGGCATTGGGAATTATTTTGTTTACTGTTGCTTGGCATTTGTTGTTTTTGTGCGCGATTATTTTTTTATTATAACCTGTTTCCAGATGGTGTTAGCAGTCAGCTGACAAGGCGCCAACCAAAAATAAAAGTGAAATATTTAGAATAAAATCGATTAGCAAAACAAAGCTAAGAAAAGCTGGAAATTTATAAACAAAAAAAAATATTTTCTTGAGTTAAAAAAAAGTGACTACAAAAGTTTGAATAGTGATTAACACACAAACAACAACAACTAGCGCACATATGGACTGCAGCCATAACAGAGCAGCGCCAGATGTCAGTTGACATATTGAGCGCGCTGCGGCGGACGTGTGTGAATTGAGCAGCGCGCGCATTAGCCAACAAATACTGTAAGGCGTCGTGAAAGCGTGAGCGCGTCAGACTAAACGCTTGCCCGTGCCCGAGTGAATGTGTAAAAAAAAACACACACCGCTGTATGCCTTAGAATCGGCGCGGCTGATCGATGAGCGGCTGTGTAGTGTGCGCGTGTACGACATAATTAATTAGCGTGACGCAACAACAAAATAAAGTAAAAAATTATAAAAAAAAAACTATAGAAAACAATAATTTAAGCCCTGATAAAAATAAGAATAATTAATAAACTAAAACAATATACAACAAAAAAATTTGAAAATAAATTTAAAGTCAAAAGAATTCAACTAAAAAAGAACTAGGAAGTTAAAAAATGAATAATATAAAGAACCAAAAGATTATAAAAAAAAACTTAAGAAATGAAACAAAAAAGTATTATAACAAAATTTTAAAACTTAAAGCTTTAGTACAACCAAAAATGTATTCCTTAAATAAATAACTACAAATGACACCTAAAGATACATATCTTACTAAAACATAAGCTTCATAAAACGCAACAAACCAAGCTGACCGTTGGAGTGACATTATAAACGCATAAATTATAGCCAGCAATGAGCCTAATTCAGTTGCCCGTAGCGACTCTGACAAATGACAATTTGGAGGCGCAAGAAACAGCGTACAATTGCGACATGCCTGGTAGTTGCGAAAACGCCTCACCAAACATGGCTGCCAACGGCGTTAGCGCTGCGCTATCAGCGCCATCGCCATCGCCATCCCCAACCGCTGTCGCGCTGTGCCGCAACAACTCTGATTCGCATATCGCGCGGCTAAACGTACAAAAAAATCAATCAAATCTCTACTTCATCAAGTCGTACAGCTTTATAGACCGGTCCTTGACAAATCATTCGCGACCACGAAAGTCAAAAAGCGCATCACCTAATCCCACCAGCTTAAGGCAAATTGAGGCGCTGCTACTCGACGACACGCAGTCACATGAAAATGCAAAATCAGGAGCGCAACAGAAAGCAAAAGCGAAAATGAAAAAATCTAAATCGCCGCCACCAAACGATTCGGATGAGAATTTACGTGCCCTGCTGCGCCACCCCGCCGCGCTTGGGCAGGAGAGTAAGAACGCAGATAAGGAGACCTTAATACGCCGCGACACGCACTTGCGTCCAAAATCGATGCCCGCACCATCAGAAGCCCACAGCCAAACGCAAACAGACCCGGTGGCGCCACCGCCGCCAAATAAATCAAAAAAATCCACGTCTAATTTATTTAAGCGTGATTCCTTCTTACGTCATAGCCTGCAATCGATACGTCGCAGTTTTACCGCGCACAAGAAATTCGCCGGCTTCGGGCAAAATGCTACAACGTCTAATGTGTGTACGAATTCCACAACGTCTGCGTGTTCGAAGGCGTCGAAAATATCTTCAGCGTCATCGTCATCCTCCTCGTCATCGAAGTCTTCTGCGTCCTCATCGACCACTTCGACAGCGTCGGCATCGGCGTCAGCAGGTGCAGATGCGGCAGACAACCTGAGGCATTCAAGCAAAAAGTGCCGTAAAAGTGAAAAGCCTGACATCACTATTATGTTGAACGATAAGGCTGCGCCGCGCGTGGAGGAGGCAGTTGAAGATTGCGGCTGCGGCAATCACAGTTTTGTGGCGAATGCGACGGGGAACGCCGACGTGTCTTTGTGTAAAAGGTAAGCTTACCGTTTGCTTAAGTGAGCGTTTTCTAAGGATTATGCGAATTCAATAGGCAGCAGCGAAGGGTGTGTATATGTGTGTGTGTGAAAGGCTGCTGGGCACAAGGTCAAGTAGTTTGGCATTCAATAAGGTTGTGTAAATCTAAGCTTAGGTGGCATTAAAAGCCCTATTGATGTGTTCTTACAATATTTCTATGAGTTTGTTGGTGACTGCGGAAAGAAGTGTGCGTCGAAAGATTTCAAGTGGGTATTAGCACAACTGACGGCTTTTTGTTAGATTAAAATGCGTATAAAATTGCAGCTGAAATAAAATAAATGTTTACCCATATGTGTCGGTAGAAGTTTTTCTGGCCTAAGAATTCAAGGTCAAAGAGGCTACACAGCACCAAACTGTTTTGAATAGATCAATCCCACTTCGTGAGTTTTTTAGATTCTGGTCTTTCCTTTACTTTCAATGTATTACTTTTTGCGTTTTGAATCAGTTGTACCTACCGCGGAAAACGCTCTTTAAGTTGTATCAGGTCGTTTCTAGTAGAACTTATCTACACTCTAAAAACTGCCTGTAAAACTACTACTGAAAACTGTTTATTTTTCAACGAGAATCTGTGCAAAGTTGTTTAAAATATACACATAAATACATACATGAAATATTTAAAATTACAAAATATATTTTTTACAAATAATAAATATCAAGTGCTCTTGTTTACTCAATTTTAAACACTTTGTGTGTAATTTTTCTCTATGTGACAAATTTGGTATGTAAAAGTAAACAGACAGTGTGTAAATTTGCATTCATTAAGAGAAGGAACTGCTTTCCTATCTTAATATGCGCAAATTTAAACAAAAAGTTTTTAGAGTGTAGAAATTGGGTGCTGTTTGAGGCTTCAGAGCTTTTTTTGAGGCTTTTTTATATAAGCATTTCTATATTAACTTGGTACTGGGAATATTACTTATGCCTTCCGACCGCTTGAACCGGACTTTGACAAACAAATGTGCCTGTTTGCAGGACTTTTGCTGCTGTATACCAATAGTCGGACTTTTTTTTTGGCTCCCAAGCAGTGCTGGACTTGAATTTGAGCTAAAGTTTATTCCCTCTGAAAACTGTCTTTCGAACACTAGGATTTCGCCTCCGCCTACCCACCGGACATAATCTATTGTCTTCCACATCCGAGAACTACTGCAGAAACTGTTGCAATGCCTCTGCAGTGGTTTTATTTATTCCCTCAGTATTGGTACTCGAGATACAGGGGATGTGTGTGGGAAACAATCAAACTGTACGACAACATTTTGGGCCTTTTCTCTAAGGCTTCGATGAGGGGGACCCGACAGTCAAAGGAAGAGGCATTTTGATATGAGTAAAAGCTTCGATTCGGCCAAGTAGAGGATGGATAGCTTACTGGCTTAACTCATATTGTTTATTGACAATTCCGTTCACTTGGTCTTCTATAATAAGTGACGTTTTGCATTTGATTCTAACTCTCTCCTTGTGTCCTAAGAAAACAGCAATGATAATGAATTAGTTAGTGTTCGACCGAAGGTTCGCCCCGACTTCGGTATTCCGCCTATTCGGCTGATTTTTTATCTTCAGCTTCGGTGCCGAACAATTAGGCAATTCCATGGTGTTGTGTTTGTCGTGAAGTTACATTATTTTACCACAGTTGTTAAAATTTTGTTGTTGTTTCGCATCTCTCTATATAACACTGTGGAAAAATTAATGTAATAATAAAAATAATTTGTTACAAAATAAAAAATCACAGACTTATTATTTTTGAAACGTAAAATTTAATTTTAATGTTCGGCTTCGGCTTCGGCTTCGGTGTTCGACCGACAGTCGAATAATACCTAATATTCGGCTTCAGCTTCGGCTTCGGCCACAATTCCAGCTTCGGTCAGACACTAGAATTAGTCTAGCTGTACTAGAGCTTTTAGTCAGGTCTCCTTTGAAGTCCCTTCTCGAGATAATAACTTTCTTACTTCTTCTGCAATTATTTAACTTGAATTACTATCTTTTGTTTTATCAGACCTTTCTCTACCTCATCAAATAATAATGTTCTTCAGCTGCGTGCTCTTACAAATTATTACAATTCAAGAGCAACCAAACACTTCGCATCCACTTTTACTTCACTAACCTTCCAAATAGTGCCCATCTCAGGTACTCGTGAACTTTTCACCTTTAAATTGTAAATTGCTTCAAAGCCAACGGAAGGATACACACATGTTGTTGTACGTTCATTAATTCCAGCAATGCCACAGACTTGTAGTTGGCAACTTTTCAAGTGAGACGCCCCCATTGGGCATTTAAAAGTAAAATATAAAACATTTGACTGCAAGCATATGAAAAATGGTAGGCATACAGTTGTCTGCTGCTGGCCGTTGGCCAACGTACGTCCAGTGTATGTGCGTGTGTGTGTGTGTGTGTGGTAGCGCAACGGAAACAGGATGTGCTCGCCTGGTTGGCTGGCGAACCAAGTGCCAAAGGATTGAAAAAAAAATATATATATATTGCGCTATTAGGTGCAAACTGCGAACTGCAGTGTAGGCAGACACTGTTGAGGCGAGCGTGGTCGGTGTGTTGCACAAGATGGCGGAATGCAAACAAATCGCCAACTTGCCGCAGGAAGTTGCAATGTTGTATGTGTTGTAATCTGGCTGGCGTGTGTGGAATTGCATGTGCGCTTCCTTTGCGGACTGCCTGCATTGCTAATTGCAGATTTCTTAACTGCGGGCTATCGAAGGTTTTTTCTTTTTATTTCTATAATTTTTTGTTTATTTTTTCCTTTCATTTCAGTTACTTTATGTATTTTTTTTCTTTTTATTGCTTGCATAATTGACTTGGAAAAAGCCGTTTGCCTTCCACTTTGGTTTGTTTAGAATCGAAAAGTTTATATCCTCAGCTAATAAGTTTTTTCTTTTCATTTTTCGGTGTGTGACTCTTACTCACAGTTACGGTGGTCTCCAGTATTAGGCTATTCCTCATTGCCGCAGTATTCAGAGATCGCTGTCGTCGCGCCTAAACCTTTTGGAAATTGATAGCTCCAGGCGCAAGGAAGCTATTGCCGGTCCCTTATGCTCCATTCCGGTCTATATGAAGACTCTTGCATTGTAGGGTATTGAAAATTGATGGGGGTTTCCAATGCAGGCAACTCAACCGAAATGAAGCGGCAGTATCTTTTTTTGCAAGCATTCTTGGTCCACTTCTTGATATTCTCTGTGCGCGTGCTTTCCAGATGAGATATTATGCATGCATACATACATACATACATATGAACATCTTAATCTCCTTCTTTTATTTCAATATCGATCTACTAAGCTAACGCAAATCTCAAATGTTTTTCACATCACCAGTCATAGCAATAACTCTCGCGTTGATCTATTTAGTTTGCATCGGAACTCTTTTAAATCGTTTCTAATAAAATTGCTTTTCCCTTTCATAAGACACGTACGTACGTACACAATCCAACAACCAATTCTCCGCACGTTTTACCTTCATTTCGTCAATAGCTCAAACTTTTCTCACGCCAATGGCACAGAACACATAACAAAAATAAAAATCAAAAAACTAAATAGCACAAAGAGCACGAAAAAGTGATACACTGAAGAAATTTGCATTTATTATTGTTTTTGTTTTTTTTTTCTAAGTAATTTGCACGCTACGAGTAACGAATGAATTATTGAGCAGCATTTACTCGTACGATGATTGTGCGACGACGGGCGAACTGCAATGCGATGCCTCCCCCCTAGTCGTAGGGAAGCTAGTGTCTTCAACCTAACTTTGCTGCTGCAGAAGCTCCTTCGCAAATACACTGCTTTTGTAGTAGTAAATAGTTTGCATAAATCACTTGAAAGAATAAATAAATAAACTAAATATTTACTCAAAAAGTAAGACGAACACAAAATTGACGCAATATCACGATTGCATTAGTGTTGTAAAATATCACTTCATTTGCCATTTGCTTGCAGTGTTGCGTAGTATTCAGTGGCAGCTAACAGCGCGTGTGGATGCTGAAATTTTTCATATGCACTTACAATGACATGTCACATAGGTCAAAAGCGTGTTAAAATTGGAATTTTTACAGTTAAACTGAGTATTTGCATCTGTGCATTGCAAAGTGCTCGATGTTATCTGGGTCATGTGGCAATTGCTAAGAATATCGGCAAATTGTAGGCTAAATTTGAAGAGGTGTTGAAGAGTGAAGGCAAGTGGGCGCGGTAGAGTAGCGGGGGG